TATATATATATATATATATATATATATTTATATGTATATATATAAATATAAATAAATAAATAAATAAATAAATAAATACTATTTATGTATTCTTGTGCAGTATTAACAAGGGAGAAGGCAAAAGAAAGGATGGAGGAATTAATAGGGCCCCCTCCTCCGGGGGCCCCCCCTCGTATGTGGCTAGAGGCCCACGAGGTCCTTCCTGGTTTAGTAGAGGGAATGGGTCTTCCTGGGGCCCCAACATTAGGGGGCCCCTCGGGGGCCTCCACTACCACTGGTGGTGGGGCCCCCACCGGGGGGGCCCCCTCCTCCCCACTGGTGGGGCCCCCGGGTACAGTTAAGTCGGAGGCCCTACAGATAAGAAATATATTTTTTAGGGGAGGAAGAATGTTATTCAGGAACCCTGCAGCAGTAGCAGCAAGAGAGGGAAAAAGGAACCCAAGGGGCCTCCCTTTACGTTTATCCTTTAGTAGGTACTGGGGCCTCCTGGGGGGCCCCATCAAAGAATGCATGCAAGGGTACGATTTTGGGGCTTTAATTGAAAAAGAAAAAAAAATAAAAGAAAAAGAAAAATATTTCCTTAATTGTTTAAGGAAAACTATAAGTAAGCAAATAAATAAATAAATAAATAAATAAATAAATAAATAAATAAATAAATAATTTTATTATTTATATATAATAATAATTATAATATAATTAATTATTTATAAATATTTATTTAATAGTGTCCCTTTTATGTTATTTATTTATTTATTTATTTATTTAATTTATATATTTATTTTATTCCTTTTTCCTTTTTGCTGCGTTGTACGTATATCTCCTTGTGTGTGTGTGTTGCTGCTGCTGCTGCTGCTGCTGCTCCTGTTGCTGCTGCTGCTGCTGCTGCTGCAGAACTACGACAGAGAAGGAGACACTTTTGTCTCTCCTCTATGCGCTTATTAAATGATGTATGGGCAACAGCAATGCATGCAAGAGAAGAAAAAAGAATAAAAGAAGAAAATGTTGCTGCAGAGGCTAACTTATTACATATTAATAATAATAATAATAATAATAATAAACAAACAAATACACAAAAATTTCCTTATTATACACATTTATAATTTTATTATAGACATGCATGCATGCGCATGCATGCACATGCATGCATGCAATGCAACAAACATTCAATAAAAACGTAACTCTCTTTAAAAGCCCCAATTGTATGCATGTATCTGTTTGCATGCATGCATAGGTTTGTATGCATGCATGCATGCATAAATGCATGTGCATGCATGCATGCGCGTGTTTGCATGCATGCTTGCATGCGTGCTTGGTTGCGTGAATGCAAGTCTGCATTCTTGTTTTGCATGCATGCATGCATGCATGCAAACATATATAAATAAATATATTTAATTTATTATTATAAGTAGGACATAATTTGTTGGTCTTAAGACAGTAATTTGTCACTTTTTTCCTATAAAAATATTAATACTAATAATAAATAAGTAGATAAATAAGTAAATAAATGTAGTAAATGATACTAATAATTCATAATAGTATTAGCAATAATAATAATAATAACTTATATTAATAATAATATAAATATACTATTTATAATAATAATAAGAAGAAGAATAAAGTTCTTTTGTATAAGGAGTTACGCATTGGTCCTATAGGGAGAACCTCTCCCTAGGTAGAGAACGAGGTGACTGTGCACAATTTAGGGGTAATTTCCTCCTTTTTTCCTTTATTGTATAAATATAATTAAACTATAAAGAAAATAATACATAATTATTGTTGCTTTCCTTTTATAAGAGGTAAAAGACAAGAAAAATAGGGGGGAAGAGCGATGGTGCAGAACAGAGCCAGTGGCAGGGAATGGTCAATTACATAAATTGCGTATTTTTTGTTCTTTTTTTCTCTTTTTTTAATTGTATTATTATAAATGTTTGAATAAATAGATAAAATGTGCAAAAATATATTTATAATCATGATATTAAACCGGTGTTTCCCCCCTTTAACTCTCCGATCCGGGTGTATCGGCAGATCGTGATGGATCGATGCAACTTTAGCAAAAATAGAGGAAAATGCTGCATTTTTTTAGCGTTTTTGCGGCTTAATAAAACTATTTAAAGAAAAAAGAATAAAAGTTAGATAAATTTATGAATTTTATTGGAAAAAAAGAGAAAAAGCAAACAATTCATCGCTCAAGATCGATCATTTGCACACCTAGAAAGCAGTCACCGCTATGCGGCGTCATGTTGCTGTCTTGCAAAACATGAATCATGATGAATAAGGGTTCATCAGTTAATTAAATTGTATCCTTTTTATTTCTTTTTATGTTTTTCTTTATATTAAGTATATTTCCCTCATATTAGTGCCTAAATAGTTTTTATAACTCCCTTTCTACCCGTCAGATCCGCAAGAAGATGGCGGCGCATTTTAAAAGATCGGTGCTTATCTGCGGAGGACTCTTTGTGCAGATTTGTTTGTTTTCTCCTTCTGCAGCAGACGTACCATATAATAGACAATTAGGAGATGGTTTTCTTAGTAAATTACCTCCTGAGTCACCACCACAAGAAGAGGCTTTTCCTGTAGAGGAAGGAGTTGCTACAACAGCAGCAACAACTCCTGCTGCTGAAGAAGCATCAACAACAGCTGATGGTGATACAGCTGCAGCAGCAGCAACAGCAGCAGCAGCAGCAGATGATGATGAAGAAGAGGACGAGGATAATGCAACAGCAATAGAGGATACATCAGCATATGATACATCAGTAGAGGATACATCATCAGAGGATACATCAGCAGCAGCAGCAGCAGCAGCAACAGATGATGAAGAATCTCCTGCTGCTTCTGAGGATCTAGATACAGATGGTGTTTCTTATGATGTTGTTGATACAGAGTTCCCTATACGGCCACCAGTATCAGCAGCAGCAGCAGCAGTACCAGCAGCAGAAGAAGAAGCACGTACACCAGCAGAACAAGCAGCAGCACAAGTTGCTGCTGCTGCTGCTGATGCAGCAGCAGCAGCAGCAGAAGAAGAAGAAGAGCTACCTTCTGGTGATTCTTCTAGTGATGATGATGATGATGATTCTCCTCTATTAGGAAATCTCTTTGATGAAGAAGAGGAGGAAGAAGAAAAAGAAGAAAAAAAAGAAGAAAAAGAAGAAATAAAGGAAGAAAATAGAGAAGAACAAGAACAAGAAGAACAAGAAAGAAGAGAAAGAGAGGAAGAAGAAGAAAGAGAAGAAAGAGAAGAAGTAATAGAGGAGGAGGAGGAAGAAGGAGAAGAAGAAGAGGAGGAAGAAGGAGACGAAGAAGAAATAGTACGAAGATTATCTTCTCTTGAGGATGAATCTCTAGAAGAGGGAGAAGAAGAGGAATCTGCTGCTGCAGCTAAGCGCAGCAGCAGCAGCAGCAGCAGCAGCAAGAGGAGGACTAGGGAGGAGGAAATAGCTGCTATTAATATATTAGCGGATTTATTAGGTAAGGAGGTAATGAATACACTGCAGCAAGGAGGAGGAAAAGAAGAAGAAAAAGAAGACTGGCAAAGAGCAGCAGAACTCCTTAAGGATGCATTTACTATAAGAGGAGACGAGGAGGAGGAGCAGCAGCAGAAGGGAGAGCAGCAGCAGCAGCAGCAGCAGCAGCAGCAGCGAGAGAAGGAGGAGGAGGGATTGAATCTATTTAAGAGAGTAGAGAGCCTTATTAAGGAAGTACAGCAGCAAACAAAGACAGGAGGAGCAGATCCATCTCTTGATGCTGCTGCTGCTGCGCTCCTGTCCTCTCCTGCTGCTGCTGCTGCATTCCCTTCTCTGCTGCAGGACTTCTTAGGTATAATCAGCAACAGCAGCAGCACACAGCAGCAGCAGCTAATTGATTTTGCTAAGGATGCACTAAGCGCATTAGAGGGTACAGGTGCAGCGCATGCAGCAGTAGGATCATCAAGAGGAGGCCGTTCAGCAGCAGCAGCAGCAGCAGCAGCAGCAGCAGCAGCAAATAGACAAGAATATAACGAGAAAAAAAGGAAGACAAAATTATCTGCAGAAGAAGTACGTCAGGCATTAACAGAGTTTGTTAATAATATTAGCGATATGCTGCTGCATGCAGCACAAGTAGGAGAAGGGGAGGCTGCAGCTGCTGCAGCTGCTGCAGCAGGACAATCTAAGCAGCAGCAAAGAGCAGCAGCAGCAGCAGCAGAGGAGACAGCAGAGCAACTAAAGGAATATTTTGTTAAGACTATGCAAGAAGCTGCACGTACACTGCAAGCAACAAACCCTGATGTTATTGATCTTTTTGCTAGATTTTATTATATTATTAAGGAACAAGCTAATTAATTAATTAATTAATTATTTAATTAATTAATTAATTAATTAAATAAATTAATATAAAATATATATAAGTTAATGTTTATATACATTAATATATAATATATTAATATATATTATTTATTAATGTATATAAATATATACACGTATATAAGTATATATATTTATATTATTTATTATTTATATATAATTTATTATTTGTTGTATTTTATGCTTTTTCTTCTTTTTTTTATTGTAATGTTTATTCTCTTTATTTGTATATAAATAAATATAAATAAATATAAATATAAATAATATATATAATATAATATATTTATTTATTATTATAT